TTTTTGAGTAGCTTTCAAGTTTCGAGTTCAAGTTTTGCGCCCATAAAATAGTACAGAGAGCACAACTGATGGAACATTTCTGTTTTAGACACAAGGGCAGTTCCCCGTGTAAAAATATTTTAAATCTTCTGAAGGACATTTGTTATTTTTAATAATTGCGTTCATTTCAGTAGGTCATGCGGTCATTTGGTAAGCATAACCTAAGTTTTATTTTCAGTCTATTTCACTTTCATGCTGGCGTCGCTCAACTATTGGATTCCTTTCTGGAGTTTTTCGATTGCTCTTGAGACGATCAGGATGCTATCCGCAAATCCCCGATGGCTTAAATAATGCCCATTTGGCCAGTGATGTCCAACATCGATTTTCGCAATGGAGCGTCTTGCATACTTTTTCAAGGGAATAATTCTGTGATTTTGCGTCTCTCTGGCGGACACTTTTCGCTTATGACTTCGTGAAGTTTGATACTAGCAGTTACATTCTTCTAATTCATGTTTATGAATTTTTTGCATCCCTGGCTCTTCAAAGAATCTACTGCAGAATGAATGTACAGTGAGTTGATAAATTCTGAATATTAAGTTTTGATTCCATATAGTTAAGAGGTGTCCTCTTGCATTCCAGTGCAACCAACTGTTAAACGGGAGAAAAATCGCTGACCTACTTAACATGAGCATCGTGCATATCCTCGGTGCATATCCAGAGTCAGTGAAACGTATGGCTGATGTGTTCTGTGTCTTCGTTTTAAATTTATACAATGCATCCTGAACTAAAAGAGAGCTAACTCTGTTCTCAGCACAGACTGAGTATCCATAATCCGAAATGGTTTGGGACCAAGATTGATTCAGATTTTGGATTTTTCCGGATTTTGGAATCCATGATATGGAGTTGAAGAGAACTGAGAAAAAAATCAGAACGAAAGTTCATGATGAAACTCAGAACAGTGATGAAATTCTCAAAAATAAACTATTAAGCAATTTTTTACTCACTCATATTTTCCACTTAAACACCCAAAATCACGAATCTTCTTCCTTTGGATAAAAATATTTGTGAGTTCCTATGTCAAAGGGTTGTCTGCTCTGAGAGGAAAGTTAGGATGTTCCAGAAAGCAGTGTAGCAGCTTCTTAAAAATCACAAATTCGTTATTTCACGAATTGAAACTATCCGGTTTTCGTTGCAGGACAACTTCACCAGGTACCGTTTTCATACAGCTTATATAGGTTGGAACGGATGGGGTTGAGGAATGAGAAGGGAGAGGGTGGAAGGAAGTTCGGATATAATGGGTTATTTCCATGATAAAATGCAAATATGCAAACGGGATGTGTTTGACGTGTTTTCACTTTTGATCCGACATTTGACCGGTTGACTTTAGGGATCGAGAGAGGCTCTTTTCTGACTAGCCAGGTATCAGAAGATACGTCGATTGAAAGCTGAGGGGAAAAGGACGGGGAGGGTGTTACTGCCGTTGTTGATATCCAAAGATATTTCGAAAACTCAGGACTGAAAAACGAGTTGATAGAATATTACGGATTTCAGATTGGGGATACTCAACCTGTACAAGAAAGACGGTCAAATAAACAGTTGCATTCTTTAGTGCATGACCAGTTAGCGACATCATCATTCTTCCTCGATGAAGCTTAAAAAATTCAGTACCGTCTCACATAAGTATCAGTATGAGTACCAGACTGATGAGGGCAATTTGCTTGTTTACAACCGGTTTATTAAATGGCGCAAATCTTTTTCCTGTATCTCGGTTTGCAGTTGGGTTCCACAGAGAACGGTATTACCGCTCAAACATTTCATTTTCATATAGATCCAACGTCGTCCTACCCTATATAACCTATATCATATGCCAGAAAATACGTATGGAGCAGATTATGGCAGAAAATTCCATCAACCTATGAATTCAGTCCGCCTTTGTAAGAACATAAGAACGTGGTGACCACAATCAGGAAGGAAAGACTAAAAGGCTTTATGAGGATCTCTATTTTCAAAATAGTGCGTAAGCAGAGAGGACAGCTCAAAGACGGAAAAGTGTTACACCAGGCTA